CGCAGTGGCAGCGGAACCGCGCCTTCGGGGCCGTGGCCGTGGCCGTGGCCGTGGCCGGGGCCGGGGCCGGGGCCGGGGCCGGGTCTGGGCGAGTTCCCGGCGCGCTGTGGGAGCGGCTTTTGGCGCGGACGGCGACTCAGGCGTCCCAGGTGACGCGGGGCGGCGGGGTGGGCGCCTGAGAAAACGCATCGAGAGGGGCGGGAGGAGGCCCTAGGGGTCTTCTAGTGATTTCTATACCCGGTGCTGACCATGAGCAACGCTGAATTGCTGTTAGTGAGCAAGACAGCCAGCCAGCGGTCACTCGCCCGCTGCCCGCATCTCCACATTGGACTCCTTGGGGGAATAGAAAGAATCCTGTACGTTTGGGGGGGACATTTGTGTTTGCATCGTCAGATGGGCCCTCACTAATTATAGCTTTAGTGTAGTACGTAATGTTTATGTTAAATAGCTACAAAAGAGTTAAAAGTTTTCTAATACTCTCAGCGTAAGTAAGTTGCACATATCTTTCGAAATGTCCCAATTATTTTTATAAAAACTCTTAGCCACAATAGTACATTACAAGATTGTAGAGAAAAAGCTTTGAAATATTTTCTTTTGCTTATTTTCTTTTTCATCAGCTATTTGCAAAAAAAATAAAAATAACAACATTTCACTGAGTAACAGTAGATTGATGACACTGTTGACTATCAACAATGGCGTTAAATACAATGTAGTAATTTTGAAATACTTTTGCGTTCTTAAATACAGGATTCAAGTAGCAAAAAGCTGTTTACGTCGAACGTGTTCTAGTTTGAATTGGGGCTTTATAAGAATGTAGTTTTGGGTTAGTTTCGAGGTAAAATATTTCTCCCCAATACTTTAAGTCCAAGTATTTTGATGACTTCTTATTGTCTAAATTTCTGATTACTGTATTTTTCTGTTCTATGTGATTTTTCTGATTAGACTTTAATAGGAAGAATTGAGGCTGAGTTGCCTTTTCTCGGCTTCTAAAAAGTGGTTCTCAAACTTTTTTGTTTTACTACCCCGTTTATATACTCTTAAAAATGATTAAGGATCCCAACAGCTTTACTTTCTGTCGATTATATTTTTTATTCTGGTATAACCTATATTAATATGGTAAACCATATTAAAATTTTAAGATAAATTTTTATTCATTTTTAATTACCCCATTACACATAAGAATAACATTTTTTTGTGAAAAATAACTATTTTCCAAAAAATAGAGTGACATTGTTTTCACTTTGCACATCTAATGTCTAGCTTAATGGAAAAGAGCTCAAATCTCAAATGCTTCTGCATTCAGTCTGTTGTGACTTTTCTTTCTCTTGATGTGAAGAAACCACAAAAATGTAATTGAGAGTCATACTTAATAGCCTTTTTTAGATCATTGTAGGTATTCTGCTTTAATATTACAGCAAAGTTCAAGGAGTAATAGTTTTTTAAAGATTAGTTTGCAACATGGAAGCTAAAACCATCAATTTTTTTTTTTTTGTACTCCATTATATTAAAATACACTATTCTGTTTTGTATTTTGGATGGATCTTTTACCCATGCATGGTCGGTAACATCATGCTTTGACTATTTTTAAAGCATTGGTTCACTGAGTTTGCAGATCTTCAAATGATATATTTTATTATACTATATTTTTAAAAATCTCTTAATGTTACTATCGATGTCATCAGTCTTTATTGGAAATTTATCAAGTTCACAGTGGAGGACATAAGTTTTCCAATATTCCAGATTTCATTTCAAATCTCTAATTCTTGAAGTGAAAGGCATAACTTTGCTCATTTTTGAGAAAATGTCAGCTATCCATATCTGAATAGAGTTTGTCAGTCATTCCAAGTAAAACGATGTACCTCCTGGAAGACAGTGGCTAGTTCAACGTACAGATCATCACACAGGTGCTTTTCATTGAGGCAACCATTACATTTCAGTATGTCCCAGAAGTGCATTGTGCATGATTCCATTTGTTCCACAGATTATTTAAAAAAGTACTTTTTTAATACTCAAGGGTCAAGATTTAATAAAATTAATCATTTTTTGTTGCTTTATTAAGGACTCTATGTGAAACTGCCTTTTTCTTTTTCCCTGCCTGTGCATGGTGGTGGAGAATACAGTGATTGCTACTAATGTACACTTCGTGACACTGGACATGTTATTTAGCCTTTCCAGTCCTGAAAAAGACATTTCATAGAATTGTGAATATTAAATAAACCTTTTAAAACATTTCAATGTGCCTAACATACTAAGTGTACATTAATTTTTTTCCTATTTATTCATTGCAACCTTTTGTTTGTTTGTTTTCAGTATTCCTTCACTTTTTCTCAAACATTCCCTTCCCTTTTCTCAGTACATCCTTTAAAGAGTATTTTACTAGTAAGAAGATAGACCAAATATGGTAATTTTTTATACATTTATTAGGCCATCCATTGGTTTCAGAAAGAATGGAAGTTGGAAAAAGATCTGTATATCTACTTTAAATATGTGGAGTAAAATTGACATACCATATTATATATATGCCATGTGTTGCTCAGAATTTTAATTATTGATTCTACTATCTTGTTATATTCAAAAAATGTCCTGTTAGAATCCAGAACAGTTGATCTTTCAACAGATGAAGAGGACGGAACACATCATGCCTCAGAAAGTAAGGATGATCAGAGTTCATCTTCCAACAGCTCTAGTTCTCTGGAAGAAGAATTTTCATCAATAGGTTGGTGATTCGGTAATTTTGTTTAAGAACTTTATTTCTAATACAGTATTTTCTATACCAGTGATCTTACTGTTGATAACACAGCAAACTAGTGAAGTGTGGGGGCAGGTAAGTCATTACTAATGATTATCAAAGTGCCAAAATTGACTGCTCATTTCCATTGCATAACAGGCCTAAGGTCAGACAGCTTGTAAGAGGCAGAGCTGAGATTCAAACCCCGGCAACTTGCTCCAGAATCTCCATTCTTAACCACTGTGCTATATTAGGCGACTCATGCCAATATTTGAAGGACGGTAAGATTTTGTCAGTGAGGAAGTTTCAGGTACAGAATGTAGCATATATACAACTTGAGGGAAGATAACATGGCTTGTGTAGAAAACTAAAAATAGCTGTTAGACTGAAAATATTTGGTTGGAGTTTAAGAAAGAACTAAAAAAAGTAAGCAGAAGGACAAATTGGATTTAGATAATGCAGGTCTTGGGGGAAATACTGAAAATTATATGCAACTAGGTGACATGGTCATTTTTGTGTGTTAGATCAGTCCAGTTCAGGGGTTAGCAAATTACCTCTTGTGGGCCAAATCTGGCTCACCACCAGCTTTTATAAATAAAGTTTTATTAAAGCACAGCCACAATTATTTAAATATGTATTTTCTATGGATGCTTTTGCACGACAGTGGCAAAGTGGAGAAGTTGACAGACTTTATAGCCCACAAAGCCATAAATATTTATCTGGCCTGTTACTTGTAGCTCAAAGGTTCATAATTTGTTTTGTGCCGTGAACTCTTTTCAGTCTCATAAAACCTAAGACCCCTTTTGAGAAAATAAAGTAAAATACATAACTTTATAAAGGAAACAATCGATTTGAAATATAATTGTCAAAATATATTTTAAAAAACATAAGTGATTTATTAACTCATTAATTAACAGGAACTTTTTTGTAATTTTTCTTCTTATACAAGTTCACAAGGTACAGGTACTTGGTGATGAATTCAGTATTAAGAATTGAAGCCTACTAGACAAGTGAAGCCTTTCCTGGACTACATACAGTGCTGTCCAGAAGAACTCTCTGCTATAATGTAAAAATTCTGTGTCTTCACTATCACAGTAGCCCCTAGCCACATGTGACTATAGAGCTCTTGAAATGTGGCTAGTGCAAATAAAAACCATGATTTTTAATTTGGTTAAATTTAAATAGTCACATATGGCTAGTGGTTACCAAATTGAACAGAGCTCCTATAGAAAATGGTGACTTAAACAGTGTACAGTGTAAGGCAGTACTTGTAAAGTATTGGCAGCATTGCACACCTACAGAAAGAAGGCAGCATTTGGAAATGTGTTGGGATAGTTTTTAATTATCATAGGCACTAAGGAATTGCTGGTATGTACTGCCCTGGAAGTAAGTGATGATAAATATCTTGCAAAGTGCAAGATAGCTCTGCATGGTGAAGAATTGTCGTTCCTCAGATGCCCCTTTGAGAAACACTGATTGAAAGTTAAAAAAGTCCTGTGAGGAACATTTTTTTCCTTCTTTTTTTCTGGAGAAGATGAAGAAGGAATGTAATAAATTTAAGGACTGGTATGTGGAAGGAGTGCATTTATTTATTTATTTTGTTGTTGTTAGATGTTAGAACTATTAGAATGATCCAGTGATGGAATATCTGTCTTGAGATGTTCACTGTTGCAGATACTGCTTGCTACCAATGAGGCATCATATCTAACTTCATCCCCTTAGATAGGATGATGCATCTGAAATTATTTATCGATTATAAATCTATAAAAAACATGATTTAATTATTATAAAGTAGTGTGCTAACTTTATTAATTAATCCTATGTCTGCCCAACATCTGCTATGTGAGAAACCTTTAAGTTAGGTGTTAGATATAGACATGACAAGATAGAGTACTCTTCTCTTGAATCTTTACTTTTTTTATTGTAGCTTGAGAGAATTAGCTTTATGTAGTACTAGTATCTCACTAGTGAGTCCATTCCTTGTGATTTATTAATTAAACTCTAACAAGTCATTTGAAGGTGAATCACTTCCAATTCAAGTATTTCTGTTTCTATAGTAATACACTTGAGTATTTGAACCAAAGTGTATGGTCTTAACTTGGTTGCACATTAAAATCTCCTAGGGGGCTATAAAAACACTGCTGCTCAGCTGCACCTCAGGTTAATTAACTCTGAATTGCTGGGCTGGGAGCCTGGGTACCAGTAAATTATCAAGTTTCCCAGGTGATTCTAATGTGTAGTCAGGGTCTGTGAGTAGATTTGGCAGCACATATACTAATGTGTAGTCAGGGTCGAGAAATGACAGTGTAACTGGAGATGGTTTTGAATTTTAATTCTGCTTTGGGTTATATTAGCTTTATCGCTCAGCTTTAAAGATGTGTCTTGTCTTCAGTCACATCACAATAAAATCATTAAAATAGACAAGACAAAATACAGAGCCCTTTTGCAGATTCCTACATTACTTCATAATCAACATTTTTTTTGAAGTAGTTAACAAGTTAAGAATCCAGTGTGCTATGTGATTTTCTCCACATGCTTGAACATTATCCACAAGGAAAACCTACAACTGTTAAATGTTGAGAGGATGAAGAGACACCTGACTTGTATCATTTTCCTGATACTAGTCTATAAGTACCAGTCTATAAAAAGCAAATCACTTGATTTGCTATTCCTTGCTTTTAATGAGCATACCTTGCTTTCTAGTGATTACCACCTACTGCTGCATAATATTTTTCACCTGATAAATGAACTTGATTATTTCTTTTATACTTTTTAACATCTTACATTTATTCACATGGGACTCACTTCAGGACCTTGAAGGCCGACTTGGCTCTGTGCTGGTTGTAGTCTGTTTCTCACTCTCTATATGCCTGGATGCCCAAAGGAGAGGGGTGGATTGTAACTTTGTATTTGACTAGTCTATCAACATTATGCTAACCTCTGCAGTTCTCACTAACTGAGTGACTACATGTTCAGCCTTCTCCGTACTCTAACCTGGCAATCTCAGCACTTTTGGAAGTGAGAAAAAACCCTCAATAAAAACTAAGCAACAACATTAATCAACGAGAGTTAGAAGATAAATTGGAATGATTTTACTATATTTTCTCACACGTCTAGATTTGGTTCATTTCTCTATATTTAATCTCAATACTTTTCCATTACTGATACAGATTTTAAGCCATTTAGTTATATTTTTATCAAAATAGTGAAAAAATTGGCAAAACAGTGTCTTTTTTCTTTATTGAAATGTGAGGAATATGTATTTCTATTGGTGCTTGGTTTTCAGTGTTCTCCTCTTTGTTTCTTTCAGTGAATATCCCTGATGCAGCTTTTATTCAGGCAGCCCGCAGAAAACGTGAATTGGCCAGGACCCAAGAGGATTATATTTCGTTGGATGTGAAACATACTTCTACCATCTCTGTTATGAGGAAAAACAGTGATGAAGATCCTGAGAGTGAGCCTGATGACCATGAAAAGAGAATACCATTTACCCCAAAGCCTACAACACTTAGACAAAAAATGGCTGAAGAAACAGGTACATATTTAATTTATTTACAATATATGAACACTAAGGCATTTTTATGCAAATAAAATATCATGATAGAAACTCCATAAAAAGGTAATGTAGTGTCTCATATTCTAAAGGGTGTTAAAGTTGGTTTTTATTTAATACCTATTTGGTCAATGACTTATTGGCCTATAAAAGACATGTCTGTATCAAAATGTTATTATCAAAGGGTATATATAATAATGTTTACTATTATCTGCTCTCCACTTGATCTTTTGACAGGTTAAAGAAATTTACACTTATTTTTGATATTGAAAACTTTCATTGTCACCTTTATAAAGATATTTTTTTAATGTGGAAGCATCTACAGGGATTTTAGGTATCATGTATTAAAATCTTCCCTGCTATGATAAACAGTTTCCTTAACCAATTATCTTTAGTTCTCACAAGACTATTTTCACATTTCTCATTTATAAACAATAATATGTTTTACCAAAGTGTCAGTGCCTAGCTGATTGAGAAGGGAAAGTTTAGGTGGTGAGATGCCCAGTTAGAAGAATGCACAAGGGGCTGACATGAGAATGAAATGGCAGGCACGAACTTTATTGTGGGGAGTGCAGTTCTGTTGCAGGAGCGCGCTTCTGTTTCTGCTCTTCCTCTGCTCCTTTTCTTGTGCTCCCCTTCTGCTCTCCAGGGGACCACGTAGCTCCACACATATCAAAGTGCAGTAGTGGCATTCAGCCAAACCTGCATGATACAATAAGCTGAATTATGTTTATATATTTTAGGCGTAAGCGCCCTACTACACTAACGTGACAGTCTAAATCCAGGGTCCTATTCCTGGCTGCGAGCTGGATCACAGCCACACCTGGGACCAGCCAGGCCTAGGACCCACACAAAGCTTTTGTCAAATATTTCAGAATGAGACTTGGTTTCTTATAACTCAGAAATTGTTTTTTAAATGTTTAGATTCTCAGGTACAGTTAAGAAGCTCTGATAAGGAAAACCAAATGTTTCATCTTTTCCAGGCTTTTTTTCCTGAGATTTGAGTCAGACACTTAGGCAATGAATGCAGTTTCTGGAGTCAGATTGCTAAATGCAAGTCCCAGATTCAACACAGTCCTCAGACAAGTTATTTAATCTCCTAATATCTGAGTTTCCTCATTTATAAAATGAGGGTGATAATAATGCCTTCTTCTCAGAATTATTATGAAGAATATGTTAACACACATAAAGGACTGCTAAGCCAGCACATTATAAGCCCCCCACAAATGTTAGCTGCTGCTATTAAAATGGAAAAAATACTGAATATTTATACATGAATTTTTTTTCCTAGCAACCAGAAATGAAGAAACAAGTGAAGAAAGTCAGGAAGATGAAAATCAAGATATTTGGGAACAACAGCAAATGAGGAAAGCAGTTAAAATCACAGAGGTAATAATTTTTTATCCCATGTATATGTTTCCTGTGGCTGCTATAACAAAGTACCAAACTTGACACCTTAAAAGAAAAGAAATTTATTCTCTCACAGTTGTGGAGGCCAGAAGTCTGAAATAAATGTTTTGGCAGGGCTGTGCTTCTTTGGAGGCTCTAGAGGAGAATCCTTTTTTGCCTTTTTCAAGTTCTGGTCACTCCAGGTGTTCCTTGCGTTGTGACTGGATTACTCCTCTGCCTCCTTCACAGGACCTTCTCTGGGCCTCTACTTTGTATGCCTCTTATAAGGACACTTGTTGGCTTTAGGGACCATTTGGATAATCCAGGATGATCTTATCTTGACATAGCTCACTTAATTACAACCACAAAGATCTTTTTTCCAAATAAGATCATATTTGCAAGTTCCAGGGATTAGAACATAGACATATCTTTTGGGAGGCCACCATTCATCCTGCTTCGCCATTCATATATGTTCTTTTCTTATCAGATTATAAATATCTTCCTCATATTATAAGCCACTTGAGAGGACTATATCTTTTTATCTTTAATGATATAATAACTGACAGTATATATTATATGGTAAATGCATAAGCGTGAAGCTAAAACAAACTCACAAACAAAAAGAATATTGTATTTGGGGTCAAAAGTCCTAGATTTGGGTTCTGGCACTACCACCAAAATATATACTCCATAAGGTCAAGAATTATTAACTATTGTGTTCATTTTTATATCTCACAGTTCCTAATATTGTGAATGCTCCATAAATACTTGTATGACTTGTCAAATCATTTAATTTTTCCAAATCTCAGTTTTCTGGGAAATGATGGAATGATTTCCCATTTCTGAGAAATGAGAATGATAATGTTATCTACCTGAGTAGGCTGTAATGCTCAAAATTATAATGATCTAAATTAAATTTCTTATAAATTGTATAATAGCACACAGATATAAGTTTTTATTTAGTCCTTTCAACAAGAATGCTTTGAAAGATTATTTGCTCTTTTAAGTAAGAAATTATTGTATAATTTCCATGTTCTTAAAACTAAAAAACTAAAGGTAGGCTTTTGATTGTAATTTAGAAATCTCTGACCAGAGAAATGATTCATAAATGACTATATTTATGACTGTAACAGGCGTAGATACCCTGCCTTTTAGGAAAATCAATACAGTAACAGCATTAAAAAAAATACTTTAAGAAAAAACATGCCATAGTTCTTACTGTAACTGCTCAAGTTTGCATAATTCCTTTTTAATTGAAATATTTGTTTAATTACAGTCATAGTGTACATTAGAAGTACCCGAACTTTTTCATTCATGGAACCCCTAGGCCAAAAGAAGTACCAAACAATTACATTATTAAGTAGTTAGGTCCAAATAATGTAATAAGATTAATGTCCTAATAACTTAGAAGCCATTTGGAAAAAAATAATAATTAAATTGAAGAAGACAACTTTTAATTTTATTTTTAAGTAACTACAATTACTTACTAATGAGATGTGTGTACCTTTTGGGTGCTGCATGACCTCTCAGACCTTGGAATCAGATTGGAGGCTGTCATTCTCATCTCCTGCTCCACATTGATTTTCAACCACTACTTTTTATTACATCATCTGCCAAAAACCCAGCTTCACTAATAATACCATCAAAAGACTTCATCATCAATGTAGCACAATCTAATGTTGCAACTATGAACTAATTATAATTGAACTAGCAGTCCAACAAATGTTGAGTATTGCTTCGTTTTCCTAAAAAAATTTTAAATACCTTCATCACCCCTTTGAGTTCACTAGGATGCCTTGGTATAGTTTGGGACAATATGCATTTGAGACAGTGTGCACATTATGCATACTTTTTTGAATTCTGATCTCTTTGCTTGACATGCTATAAATATTTTCCCTTGTTTCTACATTGTTATAATAGTAACTAATTTTAAAAGCTGCATAATATTTATCAGAGTCAATGAATCATGATTTTCTTAGTCATTCTTCTTTTTGGTGAGCATGCTAGGTTAGTTGGAATCTGAATTTTTTTTCTTATTAATAAGAATTGATAAATATTTGCTTTTCTTTTTCTTCCCTTCTTTTTTTCTTTTATTCAGATGTTTGTTTTTGAATTGTTCTCTTAAGATAATGGCCAAGAGTGGTAATAAAAGAGATGAACATTTTTATGGCACTTACTATATTTTTCTCTGTTGCTTTCTGAAATTTAGATTGATCTGTAGTGTGTGCGACTGTTTCACCACAATCTTGCGAGCTTTAGGTGCAAGTTTAGTTGGTGAAAATGGAATTTCAAATTTATTTAATTTGCATTTTTATTACTAATGTGGGTACTTTTACTGATTCTTTTATTGAAGATTTACCACATGCCACTGTATTGGTTTTCTGTGACTGCTGTACCAAATTACCACAAACTTGGTAGCTTAAAACAACAGCAGTTTATTTTCTCACACTTCTGGAGGTCAGAAATCCAAAATCAAGATTTTGATAGAGCTATACTACTTCTAAAAGCTCTATGGGATAATCTGTTCCTTGACTATTTTAGCTTCTGGTGGCTGATGGCATTCTTTGGCTTTTAGCTATCTCTGTTTCTGTTCCATCTTTCTACCACCACCTTTCATTGCATCCCAAAACTTCCTTTCCCTCTCTCTTATGAGCATACGTGTAATCACATTTAGTATGGCCCATCTAGATAAGTCAAGATAAGCTCCTCCTCTCTAGATCCTTAATTTAATCACATCTTTTGCCATATAAGGTAATAGTCACAGGTTTTGGGAGGTTAAGACATGCACATATCTTTTTGGGGTCACTATTCAGCGTCTACGGCCACTTAACAGTGATGAGCACTACAATATACAATCTTTGCAGGGGAGAGACAACTAAACAATTTTTATAGTGAAATCTTATAGTTTCTATGACAGAACTATGCCCAAGATGGCTAAAAAGAGCAAATGAGTGGTCCATTTTATAGGCAGAAAGTTGAATGGGAAGATTTTGAAAGGCCTCTACAGAAAGTCATACTTAAATGGGTTTTTGAAAGATGTTTATGAAATAAGGGATCTGAGAGAAAGTAAGATATCAGGAGTAAGGACATAAATTTGAAATAGTCTGATTAGTTTAGGGTTTTGCAGGTATGATTGGAGCTTGATGGAAGGCTTGGTAAGCATTGATATGAGAAATGATAGTGCCTCATGGAAAATATTAAAAGAGATAGTTAAGCCAATGAATTGGCTAAGTATCTGGTCCACTTCACATATCCTTAGCTGAAACAGATTCTCTAGAACCTTTTCAATATTCTAAGCATGGTGGCGATGAGCTATGATGAGCCAGAAGACAGTAATGTGAAATATACCATGTTTTACAAGATATATAGTTAAAAATGTATTCCTCTGTACATAACAGAAAACCCAATAGCTTAAACAAAATTAAAAGCTTTACCTAGAAACCCACCAGCAGACTTCTATTTACTTTTCTTTGACTGTTATGTAGCAACTCTGTCATGGAAGACAGGTGTTTAGTTTTCTGAGAATATATTAGATCATAAAACTATTAGCTTTAAAAACACTGAGAACTAAGCTTTTGTGAAAAATAAGATTTTATAGTTTTCCTCTCGTATGTAAATTTAAAGTTCTAAATTTTAAAACTGAGAATTTGAAAAACATTTTATTATAACTATGAAAAATGTCAATGGCATGGAATTTTGAACTGGTAAGATCTTGGAGTATCAAATCTGCTTTTGTGCTATTAATAGTTGTAAGATTAATGAATATTGAAAACAACATGAATTTTCATATTATTTTTAGGGACGAGATATCGACCTTTCCCACAATAGTGAGTCTCAAACAATGAAGAAGTTCGATACTTCCATTTCATTTCCACCAGTAAATTTAGAAATTATAAAGAAGCAATTAAATACTAGGTAAGTAGTATTCATCTTAAAATTTACATTTGTCCTAGATATTTAATAGTGAAAAAAATTAGCACTATATATATAAAATCTTTTAAATTGTTAAATATAAATATTAACATTAAACAGATTTATAGGAAAAATAGCATCACACTACCAAAACATTTCCATTTTTGTGTATGTCTTTTTAATTTTTGTAATAGGTATATATAATATGGTTAAAATCAAATAAATATCAAGTTCTGCTTTTTTTACTTAATGTTTTGATAAACATTTATCTGCACTTAGCTTTTAATTTTAAAAAAATATGTTGCAAATGATGGCAGCAAGATGCCAAAACACGAAGCTTATTCCCCCACAGAGATACCAACTTAACGATAACATCTGTTTTAAAAAGCCTTTATTGAGAACTCCAGAAATGAATTGGGAAGTCACAGTACCGCTGGCAAGCTCAAAGATAAAAAGAGCCACATTGTAATGGGTAAGAAAAGCCATTTCATTTCAACTGCATCAGCCCCTCCCACAAGCCAGCACTGCTTATGATAGAAAAAGCCCTACTTATGGCTTCTCTATTAGAAGAAAAGAAGAGTGGAACATACATCCAGCATTTTTGCTTTTGGGGGAACTGCCCAAGGGTCTCATTTCTGCTTCATCTATCTCAGAGCACCAATGAGGAACTTGGGACCACGGAGAACAAAAGAGAGCTCAGTGGCTTGTTGCAGAGCCAGAAAGTGTGCAGTATTATAGATGGACACCAGAGGGAACAAAATACTATAGACTCTCCAGAAAAGAAAACCAAAACTCTCTAGTTGGGAAATTTCATGTGAAAGCTCAGAAAAGATGCATTCTCCCATAAAAAGTTTGAAAAGACACCCATTCCCCCACCTCCTAAGAATCTCTAGCCAGGCTGATTGGTGAAGTTCCTCCCATGTACAAAGCAATTTCCTTTAAGTGCATTTTTTAAATACACAAAACACAACAAAAAAATAACCAAACACATGAAGAAACACGGGAACATGGTCTAATCAAAGGAACAAATAAATCTCCAGAACAAATTCTAAAGAAACAGAGATCTATGAATTACCTGACAAAGAATTCAGAATCATCCTCTTAAAGAAGCTCAGTGTGCTACAAGAAAACACAGACAAATAAATGAAATCAGAGAAACAGTACATGAACAAAGTTAAGATATCAACAAATATAAATAGAAACTATTAAAAAGAACCTGAGATTCTGGAGTTGAAGAATATGATAACTGAACTGAAAAATTCACTAGAGGGACCAACAGCAGACTTGATCAAGCAAAAGAAAGAAGCAGTGACCTCAAATACTAGCTAGTCATTTGAAATTATCTAGTCAGAGAAACATAAAAAAGAATGAAGAGAAATGAAGAAAGCCTAAGGGGTTTATGGGACACCATCAAGTAGAACAACATATACATTATGGGAGTCCAAGGAGAAGAGAGGCAGAATGGATCAGAGAACTTATGCAAAGATATAATGGCCAAAAATTTAACAATCTGAGGAAGGAATTGAACATCCAATTTAATGAAGCTCAAAAGACTCAAATGAGGATAAACCCAAAGAGGCTTATATGAGACACATTATAATCAAACTTTCTAAAGGCAAACACTTTTGAAAGCCTTAAGACAAAAGCACTTCTTATGTACAAGGTGCCCTGTAAGATTACCAGCAGATATCTCAACAGTATTAGGAAGGGAATAGGATGATATAGTCAAAATATTAGCAAACCTAATTCAACAACACATTAAAAGAATTATATATCATGACTAAGTGGGATTGATTCCTGGAATACAGCGATGTTTCATATGAAACACAGTGTGATATACTATATCAGTATTATGAAGGACAAAAACCACATGACCATCTCAATTATTACAGAAAAAGCATTTGACATTTTTTTTTTTCATGATAACACTCAACCAGCTAGGAGTAGAAGGAAATTACCTAAACATAATAAAGGTTATATATGAGAAGCTCACAGCTAACATGATATATTCAATAGTGAAAAAGTAAAAGCTTTCCCTGTAACATCAGGAACAAGGCAAGGATGCCTATTCTTGCCACTTTTGTTCAATGAAGTATTGAAAGTCTTAGCCATATAATTCAGGCAAGAAAAGGAAATAAAAAGCATCCAAATAGGAAAGGAAAGAATAAAATTATTTCTGTTCACAGATGCTTTGGTCTTATATGTAGGAAACCCTGAAGACTACACATACACACTACAAACAAGAGGTAATTACTAGAGCTAATAAAAGCCAGCAAGATTTCAGGATACAAAATCAACACACTAGTCAGTTGTTTCTATGCTGTAATAATGGAAAATCCAAAAAGTATATTAAGAAAACACTCTCATTTACATTAGCATCAAAAAGAATGAAGCAGGAATAAACTAAGGAGTCAAAAGATTTGTATACTGAAAACTATAAAACATTGCTGAAAGAAATTGAAGATAAATATCTCGTATTCATGGATTAGAAAACTTAATATTGTTGAAATGTTTACATTACCCAGTCTTTAGATGTAATGCATTCCCTATCAAAATCTCCATGGCATTATTTTTGGAGAAATTAAAAAAAAAAACCTTAAAATTTATATGGGATCTCGAGGAACCCAACCCTGTTTTGGTTTAAATAACCCAAAATAATTGAAAACACACACCACACACACA